CCTTATGCCTTGCGCCATCGGAATTTGATAAATCGAGCCCGAAATTTGCATATGCCTACTGCAATTCAGATTCAGGAATCTCCAAACTTAAAAAAAAGTATTAAAAAAAACGCCATCATAAAGCAAATATTATTTGTCCCAATTTTTCCGGTTTCGTTCGAGCTTTTCTATATTTTTTTTTTCTGCAAAGTGTGCGATTTCAGATTGTGGGTCGATCGCGGCAAAATAAAAGTTGATCAAGGATGGCTTAATGGACCGTCAGCTAATGGACGTACTAATTGCAAAAAATGTATAAAACAAAAATTGAATAAACGCATTCACGATTGATGGACATATTGTTTTTTCATTATGGCGATTTTCTCTTTAAATAACATCTTTCAATATTTGCGAAATGACTGACGCCATCAATGTAAAAGTACTGAACTATACGTTAAAGTTGTCATCTGACGTTATCATAGACAATCAATGTAAATATGCATTATTTAATAATTAGTAGAATGTATTCCAAGAATAAAATATATTAATTAAATAAATATTTTAATATATTCTTTATTATATATTCTTATTTAAAAAAGTATGGATCAAAGATTAAAAATGGATGGATATAAATAAAAAATATAAATAATTTTAAATTGTATATCTACTCACATTAATATATAAGATTTATCACCTAAAATTTAGGAGATTATGAGTAAAAATAAGGTTTAATGTACAATGTTATCAATTTGTAAAGTATCTTGGGTTGCAAACTTTTAGTGGGTATTATAAGTATTAAAATTCTAAAGCTAATTATCTGTCTTTATAATAAATTTCAAATATAAAGGGCAGAATAACTGAAGTGGTTTTTAATAATTGAAATTATTTTTATATATTTATTATATTGTTATTCTTTAAGATAATTGCAATAAATCAAATTATAACATTTCAATAAAATGCCATTAATCTTAATTTAAGTTAATCTTTTTATTCTATTTAGCGGTAGGTTGTTTAGGAGTACAGAAAAAGTTAGTTATTATGGAGAAAAAAAAATAATTCATTTAAAACTACTGCACGTAAAATTATCACTGAATTTATTAAATGAGGATTATAATCTAGGAAAATGACATATCAAAGTGTACACAAATGAAAAAAGGTTTGGAATCGTTGGTCTATATTTCTTCGAATAGAAAAAAATTATTTGGGTTTCTTAACCTTACTTAAATTATTCTCAACTAATACTGTTCTTCTCCATTCCTCGCTAAGCTTTTCTCGCCAACTTTAAGGTCTACATAGTTGCCAAATTTCACGACCACTGTTGCGCTCAAACAATATTAATCAAACGCTGACACTTATAGGCTGAGTTATAGTTTATTTTAATTTCATGCTTTTTTAATGTGTCTTCGGTTGTATTCATGTATAAGATTAGTGTCATGACAATTATTATCAACCTATGGGTGTATATTGACTGTCTAAAATTCGTCATCATCATCAGATGATCATCAGAATCATCTGGCTATAGAGCCGAGGAACACGGATACTGAAACTATTTCTACAGTTTCTAAATGCAATAAAAATAATAGTAATGTCTTTGTTGTCTGTGCCACTACGGTCACCAAAAAATCATACGTGAAAGAGGACAAAAATGGAACTGCTGTCGGGTGTAACTTGTATATTTATATGATGGTATCAACAACCTACATGAACAATATTATTCACAGCAAGAAACTTTGATATTTGTATTTATTTTAGTTTAAATTACTTCTTCTCTTTAAAAACAACAAATTAAACTTTGATAAATGACCAAAACTTATTAAAAAAGCAATTAAATTGTCGTTGCTGCCTATGAAAGTCCTGCGTATATAAATATAATTACCAATTAAAACAACCAATCAGTGGAAGGTGTTCGTCAAACGTCAATTTTATAAAATAAACGAAAAAAAAGTATAGCTAGTCTATAGAAATTACGTGGATTCGATCTGCCTGTTCCAGTTTCCATATATAAACAATATGTATATCAAAAGCACTTCCACTTTGATCAAAGCACAACATTAATTGGAGCCGTATCGAAAACCACTTAAAATACAGGTCAACAAGGAGGCAGCCCAGATAATCCTGGCGCTATTTAGATTAAGTTACGACCTTGCTAATGGAGATAAAGTAGATCGGCGCTCCTTGGATTCTCGACCACGTATAAAATATGAACTCGCATTTAATGTATTTAAGCGAGTCTCAGGATTTAGCACATCCCATCCATATATTGGTTCTCAAAGTAAAGAAGTACGTTACGCTTCGCATCCAGACAAAACGGAAACTCGAAAGCACCGACATTCCCATTCCCGGGACTACTTGAAAACGAGAAAAAGTACACGGATTAACCGTTTCTTCGAGAATTTATCGAAGCGATTTATTGTGTAGATGTTATTAAGTATCATTTCAACAATTGTATTAATGTATTTGCCGAAGCAAAGAGGAAATGGATTGGAGCGCCATCTTGTGAGGAAAATGAAATTTCAGGTATCGTGAGCAATTTAAAACCGCATCTTTCCGAATTAGACGGGATTTTGCAATTAAGCCTGGTTCGAATAATAAACAAGGAGTGGCAGCAAGGAAACGACGAATAACTTTTGAGAGGCGGTCGACCGGTTTGCGAGAATCCAATTTGCACTTGATTTAATCGTCCTCGGAAACCAATCAAATTCTCCACTGCATTGTTTCTCGCTTCTTCTTAAATTTTATCTTTTATTTCTTTTTTTTCTCCATCTCGCTACATTCTTTTCGGCGCCAAAATTGAAATTAGAGATTTGGGGGAGGGGGGTTGGTGTGGAGAGTTGCTGGATCCGCAGGCGGCGGATGTCACGTACGGCAGACGCAATTACAACTTGGACGGGGAATGGCGACAAAGGCCCCGCCAAGTTATAACAATCTTGAGGGCTTTTCTTCTGTTCGCCTTCTTCTCTTATTCTTCATTTTCTTGGTCCTGCCCTTTTTTTGTTTCTTAACAAAAATAAAATAAAAAATCGCAGCCTCCACCCTTCATCCTTATTTCATCATCTTCCAGCCTTCGGTCGCGAAAATATGGCTAATCTTGGCTGCGTACCCTCCAGCTGATTTATATTAAAATCGGAAAACGCTTTTAATATTTATGAAGCCCCTAGCAGGAGAATATCATTATTATTATTATCATCATCATCCTCACTATAACCTTCCACTCAGGTAAACGTCGACGTTGTTATGACGACAAAATTTTATTTCAATCTGAGCTTCCGTTCGCGACACTCAAATCATGGATTCGCCATCTACCGTTTCCGATATATAAAGTAAATGCAATATTCGTTCGTTCGTTCATTCTTTTTTCTTACTCGTTTCGTCGGAGCTCATTTTGCTTCAATTGAGAACAGTCTTTGATCGTCGTCCATTATCAAAGAGGACTGCAATTAGAAACAAGGGGATTCGAACTAATTTAGCAAACCCGCACAGACGGCTCTGATCGAAATTGATAATCACAGGAACATCTGCATGGAGAATGTAAGTTACCCTTTTCATCATCCCCTTCAAACTTCAAAGAAAAAAAAATATTGATTTACATAAAGGAAAAATAAAAAAAAAGCATTAGAGTATTGTTAGTATTAGAGTAAAACTATATTTTAAATTCTAATTTGAATTCGCAATTGGGGGATAAACAAATAATTAACGGTCTAAAAAGAAATACGTGGCGACTTGACACCACCTGACCTTACATCAACTGTTTCCAGATACTAGATCACTTCATGCAGGGAAATATATTTAATTCCAAAGAAGCTGTAAAAAAACGACTTTCGTAATTTTATCTACCTACCGTCTAAGCTACCGTTATAATGGCAAAACTGTATTAGTTTAGGCACATACTTTGATTAATTATAACATTTCTTGTTTGAGATATAAATTTAAAAATTTAAATAATATTGCTTAAGCTAGTATTAATTACAATATAGTGCCATATCTTCATAATGATATAATTAAATTATTTTATATTTTTGTTAATCGAAATAGAAAAATATTACATAACTGTGAGCGTGAGTTAAACATTTTTTTTTCAATTTATTATATTATAAGAAATAATTCTAATTGTAATTCATTAAAAACATAAAGATGCAAATAAATAAATATTTGCAATAACAAGTGTCAATACTCGGAATAGATTACGGCGTTATCTATCTGAGGGGATAAACAGTTATTTTTTTTTCTAGAAATTTGTTTGTTGAAACGAGGCATTGTTGCAGTATAATGTGCGTTCAGATTGTGTTTACTTTGAATATAGTTACGTCAAGTTTTGATTTGCAAATATCCGAATATGCTAAATCGAAAAGGCGCGGAAGGAAGAAGTGGGAATGCGATGGAGATGCAAGAAAAAAGACGAGAAGCGTTTTGTATTATACAAAGATTTAGATTTGCAGTGTAAACATTTGATGAATTTCTGAGGGGAGGGGGGGGTTAAATTGAGCGTCTGTGCTGCTGGATATATTGGGTGAAGGGCTGCGAAAAGGGCAAATATTTAGATTTATTCGCAGCGGAGATGATGGAAGTTGGAGGATGAGGAGACTTCGGCATCTCCTGAGAGATGAAGATGAAAGAGAGGGAGAGAGAGAGCGAGAGAAGCATCTTTGGCGAGTTGGCAATTTGCTCGGGTCGTACTTAAGATAGACTCGAACATGTTGTTAAGCCTCCGGGAGAGGTCGCCCTTAACCGCTTCCACAGCCTCCTGTTTCTCTGCCACCCCCACGAGTCTATTTAGAAGTCCCCATGGGCCGCGCGACTTATCTAAGCCAAAACTAATTTATAATTCCATTCAAGAACAAAACGCATTGTTTCGGCCTCGCGCCATGAATTAGGAAAGCTTTGAGAAGAGCAAGGAGCGGGAGTACCAACTAACACCGCGACGTCCCGTTGTGCTCCGTCTAATATATGGACTGAGTATTTGATCTTGCAAAAGTTTCCAGGAAGCAAGAGAAGCACTGCAAAAATGTGCGCTTCTGGTTACATACCTAGAAGTCCTAACCGGAAGTTGAGGGTGACGACGATTACGTGGCCGTAGGATGCGAGGACGCTGCCGTCGTACGGATTTCCTGAGCCCCATTCGAAACTTTCGCCGTGAATAAAAACCAGAACGGCGTAAGGAGCCTCCAACCCCCGGTTCCCTGCAAAACAACGCAACAAACAACATTAGAAAACATAATTAAATGCTTCGCTCTTCGAAGTACTTATAAGATGAACAAGAAACGGAGAGATCGGTGTCTGCAAGTGAAAAAGAGAGACAGAGAGAAGGCAATTTCATGCTCAAAACTTTAACCAATAACCCGAACTAATATTCTCGAATAGCCGAAATTCGAACTGGGATAGAAGTTTTACCGAAGAATGTTAATTATCTGAACATATTTGATTCAAAATTATGTTTACAATTGGATGTCCGTTGCTTATTGAGAAATACGACAAATATAGATTAAGTAATTAATAATTATATATTATCTACATATTACTTAAGAAATTAATGATGTCGCAATTATTAATATTTTCAGTTTTAATACAGATTAAACTTAACATGTATTTTATTGATTGCATGAAATTTATTATCTAAGTTTAATGTTATATACCAAGATGATTGCATATTCACAACTTTTTTTATGTGCTAATTAATATAAAAAAAAAATAATATTTGTTATATCGGTTGCATAACATTGTACCAATTTGGTTACATTTCCATTACATCTATCAACAGAAAGACTCACATCACCAACAACAGAAAAGGACATGCTGATCAATTAAATTAAAAAAAAAAACTTTACTCATGTTAAACAAGATTTATGTATACACAAATTTTGGCTTGTTTCCTTTTCTTTTCTTTTATTTTGTTTTCTCTCTCTCTCTCTACATATATTTATTTTTATTGGTAAAGTTTTCACTATTTTACTAGCGGCGAATAAAACATCTTAAGCTTCCGGCGAAACACAGTTCTTGTTGGCTTTAAATCACACCGACTCGATCAATCTTCATGCCTCTCTGATGACCTGACCATAAATTTCCGCTTTTTCTCCCTCCACGAAAACGTATAGGAAACGACGCAGCGGAGATTTCGTTACGAAAATAAAGAATATACCGTAATTTGAGATAATTTTACTTTATGGCATCAGATCGTCGATCAATTGAAGGTCCGCCATTAAGTTATTTACCATTTCCATGACAACCGAAAGAAAAAAAAAACAAAGTTTGTTCAAATTTGATCTAATATTAAATGACATTGATTAATTACATTATTATGTTTTTACCATTTAATTTCAACAGTAATCAATAATTTGCCAATGGTAATCAATATAAAAATTAACATGTAATTAATGAATGAAATATTGCAGTGGTGAAATAAAGAAGTACGTGTTAATGCTGAAAATTGCGGTCCATTTACAAACGTGCGTAAATCAAGCAAATAATAATTCGAATTCTGCGTGCACGTAAATATGTCCGCACATAAAATTATCAATTTTCATCGCATGTAATTTTGCGAAAATCGGATGGGATCCGGGTCCGACGTGCTGTTGAAATTTAAGGGTCAAAACAACGGACCCGACGACCCTAACGCCCTCTCGTATGTCTTCATTAGAGTGCGATGGCATGGATGGTGCGAGGCCGGCCGCAAGGGATTAACAATGTAATGCAAGGGAATCCCTACGAATTTATAACGCAAACGACATCAACGCACCTTTAGTGTTTGACAACGGATCAGTTTTGTATTATTCATATTAGGAATGTTTGTTTTTGAAAATACCCTCATAAAAAAATGGGAAGAAAATAATAAAATTGGCAACGCTGCAATAATAATGTAGAGCAGCGGTTTCCAACCTTTATGCTACTACGCCTCCCCGAAAAAAAAAAATTTTTCCGCGCCTCCCTTACCTTTCATTGTTTTAATAGATTAAATAATATAGACACATTTTATTTGAAGATATTATTGTATAAAAATTAATTTATTAAAAATTTTTGGCACCTCCCAGTTTGGAAACCGCTGATGTAGAGTGTTGTGTGAGGTATGATGGCAACGCTGATATATTTATATTTCAAATAATTAAACTTTTTTGTATTAAAGAAGTGTGACAACTAACCTATCTTAAAATATTCAAACCTATGTTTATCTAACTTAAATCATATATAATCTAATATAAGCTTATTTAAGCGAAATCAAATATTAACTAATTTAAGCTTATTAAATCTAAATCAGATATAACCTAATCTGACCTAAATCAATTATTTTCATGAATTTTAATTTAATTTTATTAGTAGTAGTAACTCCAATAAATTTTGTTTTCCAGATACCTAACTTTTTTACATAGGTTAGTTATGATACCAAAACCTAAGTTTAGTTTAAAACTAACCTACAATTATCTAAGCGATTGTCAAAAAAAAACCTAACAATTTGCGTCACATGAATATATGAAGCTTATAGATGTTATTGTTTTAAAATTTCTAATTTTTCGGTTCTTTCACTCGAATACGAGATTTTCAGCTGCACTGAATTATTCAGTAATTTCGTTCTCGGTCCACAAAGGCAAAAAATAAATATTAGCATTGCAGCTAGAGCGAGAAGTGTAAGCTGGCGGTCCTTTGCATTGTACATCAATGTCAACAATTCGGTGCAAGAAGATAAAGGCATTTTAGACAAATAGAAACGACAATGTACAATACTTGTCCCCTCGCAACACAGTTAATGGACTTTTTTCCAAAGAGACTCGCACAATAAATATATAGGAAAGAAAGACGTTGAAAAAAGAGGAAAAGAAGAAAACAAAAAAAACAACAGCACATATTACATAATAAGATTAAAAGACATCCGACACAATAGCGAATTTTTGCTGTGCATTCGGAGCACATAACATTGTTATATGCACGCAATTCATTAGATAAATCCATTTAATTAGGATTTGCAGCAGCATCAAAAAAATTTTAGTATTAATAATTCTAAAATGAAAAGCGTGTAAATACTTTGTAAAGTAGCACTCGACAATTTGCGAAATTAAAAGTGCTTTCAGTGTTGTTGTTATTGTTGGTGTACATTTTTTTTCCATTACACTGTCAATTATGTTTTGGTTGAATAAATATGTAATTGCTGCATGTGCAATCCATTACTACGATTGAACTCCAGCAAAATTCAAAATGAAATTTTGCTGTGAAATTTTTTGCAGTTTTTTTTTCAGTATGATTTAGTCATTTACAATTTTTTTCTATTTCAATTCAAATATTGGGCGAAGTAAAAAGTTCTGAGCGTTTTGTCAGTTCCTGGGCAATGGAATAAGTGCTCGCATGCCGGTCCAACTCGACGATGATTTTATCAACATTTTCGACAATTCCATATTACCAGAACGAAAGCGTTGCAACCAAAGATATTAACTGAAGATTGTATCAAATTTTCTCTTCTTTTACATCTATTTTGGAACGCTCTAACACACAACTTGACTCATTAAAAACTGTCAAAGAACTTTTTTAAAGCGTTATGTAGCCTTTAAGTCGCAGTATAGAATAATAAAATGCAAATCATACATCGTGACTTATGGCTCACAAAAGCCATGTAACGAAAAACGGTCAGAACTTTTATAGCCGTGTGTCTATAGTCGCCTATATCACAATACAAAAAGCCATAAAAATTATGTAGACCGATAAACCCGAAAAGGGATAGAAATAGGGCCAAAAATATAAATTGATTTAAATCTTTTTATTATAAAAAAGGGCGCCGAAAAAAGTTTGGGAATCCCTGACTAAACTTAATTTCATGAATTGTGAAGTTGCCTAATTGATGATAAATTATTTTAAAATTGTAATATTCCGTTATTTAATAAACATACTTAAGTATATTGTTGCATAAGTGTAGTGATTTTGTATGCAATGGAAATATAAATGTTTGTGTCTGTTGGTATTTCATTTGATTTGTGTGACATTTATGACTGTAATAAATAATAATATAAATATATATTCAATGGTAACAAATTTTGTTATAATATTGACAATTAGTGCAAAATTTAACTTAAAATACGTTTCAGCAAAAATAATAATTATTATTATAGAAAAAGAAAAATATAAAATGAATGTCTACATTCAAGTATAAATAAGTATAATATTAAAAAATAGCAACAAATGATCTCGAAATTATTTCAGTAAGCATTATTATTAAATGTATTGCTTTATATTCAAACTTATTAACTATTTTTTAAATCTAGTTTTGTAATTTCGATTAATTTAGCTTAAGATTAATGTTACTGAAATATAGGTGCGTTCATTGTGTTGCATAGGTTTATTGTTTCCGTGATGAGCGCCATCTAATAATTTTTGAGGTATTTAAATTTGACAATTTGCAAAATCATGGAATTGCGGCGTTAATTGAGTGACGAATTAGACATAGAACAATTAGGCGTTAAACAACGTGAGGAGGGAGCATCGTAGTGTGCTTTAGAGCATGGGGGTGGCCAAATCGAAGGGCGATAATAAGGGAAGAAGTTTAATTAATCCGAGGGTCGCTTTTGGTCCGAGGGCTTAGCATAAATTCCCATCCATTTCCAGGTGCGAACCGGACCGGAGAGAAGCCAATTAGTTCGATGGCAATTAATCAATTCCACGCTGCGTACTACCATCCTCACGGTGCACAGTCCTGCATGTTACACACACTTGTTAATTTTTTTTTTCACCATTCACCATAATAAAGCAGACAGCAATTCGAAACTCGGCTTTTAACGAAAGTCGTTCCATTCTCTTGTCCACAATTCGACAGTTGCGCCGCAATATTTACATTTTTACGAAATACCAACCTCGAAACAAAAAATTAAAATGTTGTGTAAAACAAACGTTTGTTATTGCTTGCTTTTGTAAATTTCCTCCGTTTGTTTTCATTATTGGATGTTTCGTGCGTTTTTTTTTTCGTTACTGCGACCGAAACAAATGCGGAACGCAAAAAAGGGAGCAGCTCGTTTAATTGTCTCCACCAGAGACACCCTACTACAATTTCCTCTCGAACTCTCAATTATCGACAATATCCCTCAAAGTCCGATTTAACGGATTTCCAATTTATTTACATATAATTATAAACATTAATTATAATTAAAACGGCACGTCGAAGGAGGGCGCAAAAAAATATGTGAAAATTGCCAATTTAATTCGGTAATTG